GAAAATTGGTGTTGGAAATGGGTTTCGGTTACGGCATAGGGATTTTCTAAATGATTATTGTGGAAATTCTGAATAGCATTTCGAGAAATATTATCTTCGTCCGTGAACAGAATCATTGATTCAAATTGCGGATTTTGTGTAATTTTTTGAAAATACCACTGACAAAAGATCGCACACCTTGGAAAATCAATGGGAACTAATGCCTGTACTCTTAAAATATGGTAGGGATATAAGAAAAAATCCACTAAAATTCTCCAAACAATTTGAGGGCAAATATTTAGGTGTCTAGCGATCTTCCTCGTACTCGTTTCAGGATGCTCTTCGACTTCGTGTAGCACTGCTTCCTCAATTTCAGGTGTTCTCACACTTAGAGGTCTATCTTCAGATGTTCCTTTTCGGACAGAACCAGTTTCAACAAGACGGCGATGAATATTAGTAAAGGTTCGACTATATTGCAAAGCACGATCGGGATATCTCTGGTGATAAATCCGTCTGGCTTGCTCACCATTACCGTCGGCAAGGCCATATAAGTAATGCATTTCCGCCATTTCTGCATTTGAATAATTCACCATTATTAACAAGATTGTAAAAACTAAATAATAAAAAAGATGTCACAGCGAACAGATTTGAATAACAGAGACTTGTCAGATGTCAAAAGCCAGTGAGTTATTCCAGAGCAACTAGACATTTATTGCTAAATTGCATTCTTCAATTATTACATTAATTTTCTCGGGCAGTAGAACGGTTTTTATTTTTTTACTCAAAAATGGCGCATCGAAAGAAAGCAACTTAAGAGAAATCATTTGTTTTAAATTGAATGGAGAATTCACTAATAATTTTTATTTGGCAAAAAACCATCGGCATACCATTTTTTTCTTAAAAAATACCCGTTCGCGCGCCACTGCTAAAGCTAAAAATTATTTTGCATTGAAAAATATGCAACTTTATTTACTTTCACTACTTACTAAATACCAGTGAAATATCTGAAGCGGTTCTGAAAATATTAATTAATTTCCATTTTTTTCCTAAAACTTCAACACCCCGAGTTTTTGTAAGGAAACATTTTTGGACCACAGTTTATTAAGCAAACTAACATTAATTTCCATGTAGATTCACACCCTGTAACGCTTCCTTTCCGCAAAAAGTCCAGAAAAGATGGAATGCAATGAAGATTCCAACTTTTCTGCACAATCACAGAAAGGGGGTTACCATGGCATGGCTAGAGGATAGAAGAACAAACAGAACACAAAAATTTAACAGATTTTATTTAACAAAAAAAAAGGCATTTTCATTACATTACAATTTTACAAAAATAACAAAATAAGTTTTACATCTTTGGCGCTGCTATAACGCTATCGACTTATCTTTCGCTGGTCCATTTTTACTCGACTGAAGCCAGGATGGCCAGGGGCTTGAAGGGGAGGTCCCAGTTATGAGGGGTGACCTCCATATAGTGGCTTCACAACCAGTTGTAGGCGAAGTTAAAGGCGATGGCGCTGCCAAGGTACATGCATGGGTGAAAATATTGGCCAAGGCTAGGCAAAGTGAAAGGGAAAGAGAAAGGGGGTGGCCCCAATCTGAAAAAGAACCGTGTGCATTAGCAACGTGCCCTAATGGCCAAGGCATTTCCAATCTCAGTCTGCCTCAAAAGAGAACCAACGATTTTCTAGGTTAGAATTACATTATATAGTTTGATAAAATCAAACCGAAAATTGGAAATGCCTTTCATAAAATAAAATCATGAAATAGCAAAAAAAAAAGCGTAGAACAAGATGGTGGTCATGTAACGCTTCCTTTCCGCAAAAAGTCCAGAAAAGATGGAATGCAATGAAGATTCCAACTTTTCTGCACAATCACAGAAAGGGGGTTACAATTAGCTTCCGGTAGCTCAGTCGGTGGCATGAAGACATCTACAGGCGTGTAGCTGTGTGTCGACCATGGCATGGCTAGAGGATAGAAGAACAAACAGAACACAAAAATTTAACAGATTTTATTTAACAAAAAAAAAGGCATTTTCATTACATTACAATTTTACAAAAATAACAAAATAAGTTTTACATCTTTGGCGCTGCCATAACGCTATCGACTTATCTTTCGCTGGTCCATTTTTACTCGACTGAAGCCAGGATGGCCAGGGGCTTGAAGGGGAGGTCCCAGTTATGAGGGGTGACCTCACATATAGTGGCTTCGTAACCAGTTGTAGGCGAAGTTAAAGGCGATGGCGCTGCCAAGGCACATGCATGGGTGAAAATATTGGCCAAGGCTAGGCAAAGTGAAAGGGAAAGAGAAAGGGGGTGGCCCCAATCATTTTTGTCCTATACGGACACACATTTTAGAAAATTCTAGCACATGGTGCTATATAACCTTGTGCTACTGAGAAGAAATTTCTAGCCGTTGTTCGATCGGCGGCTCAGGTGAAAAGGAAGCGCGAGGAAGATCGCAGATCAGGAACTCCGCATCAAGCGCTCCAAGCGGAAAATTTTCCAAGCAAAAAAGCTAGAGATGGGATTAATGAAATGATAATCGAGAAGTGATTTAATAAATACGATCGGACGGTGAAACCGTTACACTCGCCCCAACTTAACCAAAAAAAAAAATTGGAAGAAGCATTCAAGAATTTTTTTTTTAACAAGGAAATTGAAAGTTATCACGGAAGGACAAATGTACAACCATTCGACCAGATAACAAGTAGCAAAAGTAAGGTAGAAACAAAAATGTTAGAAGAGAATTGGAAGAAAAAGGGATAGCCTCAAGTCTACCAAACAAGAGGGATGGTTATAGCACCAACTCGCTGAAAAGTACAGTGAAGTTGCACTTAAAAAAAACTATCATCATATGATGAAAAACCCAAAACATAAAACATCGTCGTACCTAAGACGAGAAAAATAATAAACCAAAAGTTTCAGCAGTAGTCCAAGCATGAATCACAATGGCATCCAAAATGCACGACTGACTACTAAAAACTTCAAAACTAAGTAAGTACCTAAACCATAAGAGGTACTAAAAAAAATAATAATCTTTCTCAAAACAATTGCCAGATTATCTCGCAATACTCCAAACCCAAAAAGATTATGATCTACAGTGATATTTTAAACCAATATCCAATATAAAAAAACTGTGCATTACTATTTTCAAAATATGAAAATCAAAAGAAATTAACAAATTCTATTAAGAATTCCAGTTATATAACAAAACAATTTACAAGTACTAAACCAATGAAAACTTGATCACGAAGGTATTTTAATCAAAAAAGATGTTAACTAAGTGCAGTTCTGATTCCACAAAAAAAATTGTCGGGCGCCAGCAGTCTGTAAGACTACAAAATAATTCAAAATATTTTCAGAGAATTAAAGTATATAAGGGACATTCATGAAATATTGAAGTAAGATTTTCAAAGTCAAAATATAGCTTAAGTTCAATCAATGAACTAAAATTCAAGAGTAAGTTCAATCAAAATTTTTGGGTCATGTGACAACATAAGAACCAGACCAAAAAAAAAAATTTGAAGAAAAGAGCAAAATAAATTTCCAAAAAAACTAAGTGCAACACAAGTGCAACTGTAAATCTAATAGTGTTAAAATCATAAAGTGAAAGGAAATATTAAAGCTATATGAGCATGATTTTATAAAGGGTTCTCAAAAGAATTTAAAAGTAAGCAAAATATTAAAAGTTTCATGAGTAATAAATGAGAAACAAAGTGAGCATAACATATGTAAAATGCAAAATAGCGAAACGAAAATCACAAGATATTTTATTAAATCATGATACATGAGAGTAATGCCGCAAGCAAAAATTATATGCAAAAGACTACGATATATGTAGGTGCAAAATTGGAGTTATAAAAAAAATCTAGTGAACAAGAAATAGAAATAAATATGATAGGTAAGAATTCGAATTTTGATTTAAAGCAAAAATATGAGAGAAAGACAACTTTCTAGGGTCACCATAGGTGCATTCCAAAGCCCTAGACAAGAATGTCTATAGTCTATGGAATATTCTCATGTAGATCACTGATATCATCAGCGCACTTCAAAGTCTACACTGAGAATAACCATAACATTGTAAAATGAAAGTTAAGTTCAAATATGAAATATTACAAGATTAGAAAAACTATAATAATTTACCAGTGTAAAGTATGAAAAGAGAATTACTATACTGAATCTATAAGAATAGGCGATTACTTCAAGTCAAGACAGAAATTGAAAGAAATAAGAAGCCGGAAAAAAGATTATGAGAGCCGACTATCAAAACAAATGCAATAATGCAAAAGCAAAATCACCAGATATTTCAAAATCTATAGCGAAACATGAAAGCAATGTCGCAACCAAGCTCAAGACTTAGCAATACGCACAAATGTGCACAAAGGCTGAAAGCATATATGAAAAATCTCAAGAAGGAATTGACAATTACTTCAAATCAAATTGAACTGATTGAATTGAACTGAGACATAAATTACTATATCAAAAGTGAGTTTTACTTATACGCCAGAGATTTCAAGAGTTTATCAATACGCACAGATTTGCAACTAGGCGGAAAGCATATATGACAAGTCTCAAGAAGAAAATAAAATGCATATGAAGAAAACACTTTCAATTAAAGAAACTGTGGATAGTACAAGACCCTCAAGGCATACATCGCAACGAATCTATGTAACTATCCAGACTACAAAATACTGTCAAAGTTCAAAACCACTCAAAAATATGTGAACAAACATCAAAAGTTTGAACCAAAAATCAATGTAAGTCTGTGCTCTCGAAGAAAGTTATAATGAATTCAAAAAGAGGATACTATCAAAAACTTCAAAAGTAATAGACTTCAAAAATAGAAGTACGTAAGTATGTAAAGGAAATTCAGAAAATATACGCATAAAAACATTATAAAATATTATACACAATATTTGTCACATGATTTAGATCGGGAATGCAATTTAAATTTTGAGTACACTCAGAAAAATGAAATATTCAAAAGATGAAGTATACACATTAAATTGGAATCAGAAAAATAATTATGACTTGTAAATTCTGTAAATGGTGGACTGACGTGATGGTTCAAAAGGTTGAAAGAACAACGATGACTAATGTCCAAAGTAAACATTCACCTGCCTTTTACAGGAAATTAGCTTAACAATTATCAAAGGAAATTCTTGTCCGTTCGCATCTGTACTTGGAAATAAATATAGGAAAACCTACTCGCTCCAATGTACAGATCGAAAAACTCGCCCCCTTCGATTGAGCGGGAATATGAGTATTGGACATATTGTAATATTTCAAAAGGTTGAAGGATCAACGATGTTAAACGTCCAAAGTAAACAATCAGCTGCCTCTTACAGCAAAGAAGTTTATTCATTATCAAAGGAAATTCTTCTCCGTTCGCATCTGTACTAGGAAATAAATACAGGAAAACCTACTCGCTCCAATGTACAGATCGAAAAACTCGCCCCCTTCGATTGAGCGGAAATATGAGTATTGGACAAATTGTAATATTTCAAAAGGTTGAAGGATCAACGATGTTAAATGTCCAAAGTAAACATTCAGCTGCCTCTTACAGCAAATAAGTTTAATCATTATCAAAGGAAATTCTTATCCGTTCGCATCTGTACTAGGAAATGAATATAGGAAAACCTACTCGCTCCAATGTGCAGATCGAAAAACTCGCCCCCTTCGATTGAGCGGAAATATGAGTATTGGACAAATTGTAATATTTCAAAAGGTTGAAGGATCAACGATGTTAAATGTCCAAAGTAAACATTCAGCTGCCTCTTACAGCAAATAAGTTTAATCATTATCAAAGGAAATTCTTCTCCGTTCGCACCTGTACTAGGAAATAAACATAGGAAAACCTACTCACTCCAATGTACAGATCGAAAAACTCGCCCCCTTCGATTGAGCGGAAATATTTGTATTGGACTGATTGTAATATTTCAAAAGGTTGAAAGATCAACGATGACAAATGTCCAAAGTAAACAATCAGCTGCCTCTTACAGCAAATAAGTTTATTCATTATCAAAGGAAATTCTTCTCCGTTCGCATCTGTACTAGGAAATAAATATAGGAAAACCTACTCGCTCCAATGTACAGATCGAAAAACTCGCCCCCTTCGATTGAGCGGAAATATGAGTATTGTTACAAATGATAATGATTAAGCAAGAATAATTTATCTGAATTTTAGAATATGAGAGTATATAAAGCATAATAATACACAAAAGCAAAAGTTAATCGCTGTCCGAATCAGAACTCTCACTCATTACATCATTACGCAAAGCATCAATACCATTGCCATGATCAACATTCAACGTATTATCCGGTTTCAAGTCTTTAACATGAAAATCTCCCAAGATATTACCATGGAGATCTTTCAATGTGTATACTAACGGAGATTTTACTATATGAATAATACAAGGAAGGAATTTTGGACTTAGTTTGGCACAAAAGTTGTCTGCAGCACTTGATTGAAAGAAATTGCGTTTGAGAACTCTATCACCTTTATTAAATTGCAGATGTCGTCTACGCAGATTATACCTATTTCTATTAAGTTCGTAGGAATGCCGCATTCTGTGCTGGTAAAAATTCTGGAATTTGCTGAACAAAATTTGGATCTATGACGTTCTGGTCGATATTGACTGGATTATTGGCAACAGGTGCAATCTTTCCATAGAATGATCCATCAACTGGTACATTTCTGTAAAAATTTAGAAAGCTGGGCGAGTATCCTGTGACTTCATGTTTAGCAAGTCTGATTGCTTGAGCTATTTGATGAATAGACTCATCCCAAGTTTTATGAGAGTCTTTGATATAGGACCTAATTGCAGTAACGATGGTTCTGTTAACTCGCTCAGTAGGATTTACCTGAGGGGTGTATCTTGCTGAATACCAGATCTTCTGCACTTTGTATGAATCTGCAAGCGCTTTAAATTCTTTAGAAATGAACTGTGGACCATTATCTACAACGATGATTTGAGGAACTCCAAATATAAGGAAAACTTGATTTTCTAAAAATTTTACAATTGAGCTTGAAGTTGCCTTAGGCATTGGATGAACTAGTACAAGTTTAGTGAACCAGTCACAAACTACTAAAAGAAAACGATTTCCTTTCTTAGAACGAGGATATGGTCCTAAAAGATCTGCTGAAATCATTTGAAATGGATACTTGATGTCTCTATATTTACCCATTAAACCAGCTTGAGGTAAATTACTAGGTTTGCATTGTGAGCAAACTTTGCAAGAGTGTACATAGAACTGAACAGATTGCTTCATTTTAGGCCAATAATAAATAGCTGATATGCGAGATAGTGTTTTAAATACTCCTAAATGACCAGAAGTAGGATCATCATGATACATTTTGAGCAATTTAGATCTATTTGGAGCTGGAACAACGATTTTCCAGTCAGTATAAGTTTCTGCAAGTGGATTATCAGAAAGAATATGTTTGTATAGAATATTGTTTTCTACTTTAAAAGATGGATACAATTCAGGGTTGTTTTCAACCTTACGTATCATTTTACGATACCACTTGTCAGGAGATAATTCCGCAAGATCTAAAACTGACACATTAACCTCATTTTCATGCAAACGCGAAAGAGCATCTGCTACAGGTATATCTTTGCCTTTACGATGAATAATTTTAAAATCATAAGGGGAGAGACGACATAACCATCTGCATAGTCTAGGTGAAGGTGTTTTTTGAGATCTCAACCACTGCAAACTTGAATGATCAGAAATAACGAAAAAATGTGTGTGCTCTATGTAACAACGGAAATGTTCAATACTAAGAATGACTGCAAGCAGTTCTTTTTCAGTTGTAGAGTATTTTCTTTGGCACTTGTTGAGAGATTTACTGAAATAAGCTATGGGATGTTCCAAACCATTTTCTTCTTGATAAAGAGTGCCTCCCACACCAGTATTTGAGCTGTCACAACAAATATAGAAGGGCTTGGAGAAGTCTGGACTAGCAAGAATTGGAGCGCTGGTTAGCAAATTCTTAATTTCCTTAAAAGCATTGTCAGCATCAGGAGTCCAAGTGATAGGTTCACCCTTCTTCCGATTTTTAAGCAAGTCTGAAATTGGAGAACATACCCCACTAAAATTGTTAAGGAAACGACGATAATATCCAAACATTCCAATCAACCTTCGAATCTGAGTAGTATTAGTTGGTTGAGGATATGATAAGAGTGCAGATACTTTTTCGGGGTTTGTTCTAAGTCCTTTCTCATCAACAACATAGCCTAAGAAAGTCAAAGATGAGCGAGCAAAATGACATTTATCAAAATTTACAGTCAAGTTAGCATCTTTCAATCGATTATAAACTTCTTTCAGTATCCTTAGGTGAGTTTCAAAATCAGGAGTTGCCACAATTATATCATCCAGATAATAAAAAACATATGGTTCCAGATCAGGACCGATAACCATGTCTAATAATCGACACATTGCACTTGAACTATTAGAAAGGCCAAAAGGAAGTCTTCGAAAGCAATAGGTACATTCCTTTACCACGAACTATGAAAGCTGTTTTTAATTTAGATTCTTCATCAAGTGGAATCTGGAAAAATGCTGATTTTAAATCAATGGATGATAGATATCTGGCATCTCTGATTTTAGAAATTACAGAGTCTATCAAAGGAGGAGGATACGCGTCAGGAATTGTTACTGAATTTAGTTTTCTACCATCAAAACAAACTCTATATGAACCATCTTTCTTGGAAACCAGCCAGAGCGCTGAACACCAGGCACTGCTGCAAGGTTCTATAATACCCATGTCCAACATTTCATCAACTTGCTTAATAAGAGCTTTTTCCATTACATGAGAAAGCGGATATTGTCTTTGCCTGATGGGCTTTGCATCACCTGTGTCAATGTGATGTGTATATAAATGTGTACAACCAATACTGTCAGTAGGTGCAATGCTATTAAAAAGTTCAACAATTTCAAATAATTGTTTCTTTTCCATATTAGATAGCTTCTCCACACCTTGAATACAATTTACAGCACAAGATTGATATGAAAAAGTATGAAAATCAAGGTTGAAATTGAATTTTAGGATGAAATCCATGCCTAAAAGTAATGTGTGTGTAATGGAAGGAACTATTATGAATTTAATGACATGAACTTTGCCATTAAAACCTACTGGCAGCAAAGCAAAACCTAAAGTATTCTGCATCTGGCCATCAGCAGTTGTTATTTGCAAGGTACTACTGTAATCGATGTTGAGATTTAATTTACGTAATAAGTATAAGCCAGATGAACCTAGAATGTTGGCATTGCTTCCAGTATCAAGCAAAGCTAAAATGTTTTCATCACCAATGGATATTGAAAGATGTGGACGATTGTCATTTGGTTTTTGAATGAATGGTTCTGAATGATCATTTGATGGCATACCTGCAAGTTGTGAATGATTAATGTCAAAATCGGGATTAATTGCTGAAGGTTGTCTTAACTTGGCTATTTGTTGGACTTCAGAATGAGACCTGGAGTTGCTTTGCCCTTTACGTCTATGACTCCTCGAGTCTGGGCGAAAGAAGTTCCGGGAGTCGGATTGGAAACTTCTTGCCTCACGTTTTTTTGAACAGGAAGGACAATTAGAGCGAGTGACATTTTTCATACCACAGGTATAGCAATAAACAGCCTTAGGAGCTCTACAGTCTCGAACAGAATGTCCTAGTTTCTCGCAGTTCCAACATACAGGAGCTTTTCTGTGAGATGATGGAGTACTATCAGAAGTAACCAAGCTGGAAGTGGAAAGTCTATTGTGGGGTTGACAAGTCAAGAAGGAATCCTCTAATTTCCTACAAAGTGATGTTAGTTCAGGAAAAGTGGAAATTTCATGAAGAGCAAGTGACTTTATGAAGTCAGGCAATAAATTTCTACGGACAATATTGACCATGTCCCTTTCTGTAAATGTATTGTAGGTTAATCTATTGAATTGAGATTCCATGAACGAAATGAATATCGTAACATGTTCATGCTGACCTTGTTTGCGTCTACGAATCTCATCAATTAGGTTCATATCATAATTGTCACGTAGGAAAGCATCCTTGAGTTGTTTAATCAAGTCCTGCCAATCATGAAAGCTATTTCTTAGATGGCCATTATGCCACCATGTCCAGGCTACATCTTCAAAGAGATCACCTGCAGATGCAAAGAGATCCATCTCATTGCAACCACGGGAAGACATTAGAGATTCGACAATTTCTAGAAATTCAATAACTGAGCTATTTCCAGAAAATTTTTTGATTCCCCATTTGAAAACTGGTATCTTTTTATGTGGAGCAAAATTTATAGGAGAGAGTGGCTGTGTATGTACTGGAGGAAATACTTGAGGATTAGCAACAGTCACAGGCGGATTTGATGCTAATGGAATAGGACGAGATGGAACTGATGGAGGAGATGATTGAGCAGATGGCATCTCAAGCTTCTCTAAAAGATCCGATTCACACACAACAAGTTGTGTCTTTAATCTAGATTTTGTACTTATCTCCTCATCACAAGTAGGAGACATTCGATCTATCCTACCAGATAGATGCAATAAGCGCACACAAATTCTGCGATGTTCAACAGAATCAAATGCACCAGTAAATCTAGAGATCATCTCAGTGAGTTTATTGAATGAGAGTCTTATCTCAGTCTCATCCTCATCAAAAGGAATAGTCGCAGAAGTTTCTGAGAAACTACGCCCTTGAAATTCCTGTGCTAATAAGCCACGTAAAACTTTACGTTTATCCTCCACGGTATTAGGGACTTCCAAACCTCTGATATGAATCTCATAGTGGAGTTCATGACTTAATAAGTCATTTGGGCTTAGTCTAGACTGAACCATGATTGAGAAATAAACCTCAAAGAAACACTTGAAAGAAAAAAATTAAAGTTAAAAACCTGAATACGTCAAGAAATGACAAGGATCTAAAACACTATAAAAAACTAACAATACAAACAAAAAGTTTCAATACAAAAACAGAAGCAGCCGAATCTTAAGAAAATTATTTTATATCTCACATACATTAAAAGAGTACAGAGACGTTCAAGTCCTGTTAATCCAATGGAAAATCAGACACTAATGTTCTAATTTCCCCCAAAGAATATGCCAGATAAAACTATAAAACATTAAAATTATGAAAACTTTTGCTCCAAACAAGAGACAGAATTACTACAATAGTTACTGAGGAACGTATACTATTTCAACAACAAGTTGAAGTTTAATTATCATAAATGAGTATGTGTGTCTTTGTATAGGTAAAAATGATTTAGGAGTCACCCCCTCATTGAAAAGTAGCAAAAATATAGTCAAGAAAAACATCATTTGTTTCTTGAAAAAAAAGAAAGGTAAGTATCAAAGTACTATGTCCAAGTGTCAATACTTGAAAAAAAAGTAAACCGCTAAAATATACGAAAAATTATGAATATCAATTTCATATAATTCAGAAAAATGGATAAATCGCAAAATGATTTACTCCAGATAACTCTAGTCAGTAGATTATTGCCATCAGAATGAAAACAAATGATCAAAAGTTCAAGTACAGTCAAAAATTCAAAAAGTAAATACATTTGGGGAAGGCAAAAATAATTTTGAAAGTAAATTTCCTACGTACCAAACATCATGAGAGCTATATCAGTACACCAGAGATCCAACAATTAGGCTATGTATGCATACATGAAAAGTCTCAAGAAATCAAAAAAACTGCACATGAAGAAATACTTTCAAAAACTAAGAGGTTAGTGATCAAAAATGAAAAGCATATAAGAATATGTAAACTGTCAACAACAATAGTCACAACCTCAATCAAAAGTTTGATGATATTCGACAAAAATGCTGGGAAACCTAAAGTCCCCAGACTATCAATATTCAACAACAAAAAAATATCAAAATATCATCAATCTCAAAAGTACAATGAGAAAAAAGTTATAACTGTCCCCAGCAGTAAATAAAAACTGTAGTAGTATGTGAGAAAAAAAATTCTGGCAATGATCTCGCTGACTACTAAACAAGACAATTTAAAAGTTAATAGTATGCCTATGAAATAAACAGGTGGAAAAATTTTAATCTTCTGATAAAAAATTTTAAACATTAAGCAAAAAGTAAGGATGATTAAAGAATTAGAAATTTGAGTAGCAAAAGCAATTAAAAATAGAAATGCTGCCAAAGATTGTAAAGAATTTTGAAAACTATGTTCTCTCTGCCAATCTTCCACTAGCAAACCACTTGTCGACAAAGCCAAACACCTATCGAAGCCTCACGTTGCGGGTGCCAATTTATGTAACGCTTCCTTTCCGCAAAAAGTCCAGAAAAGATGGAATGCAATGAAGATTCCAACTTTTCTGCACAATCACAGAAAGGGGGTTACAATTAGCTTCCGGTAGCTCAGTCGGTGGCATGAAGACATCTACAGGCGTGTAGCTGTGTGTCGATCATGGCATGGCTAGAGGATAGAAGAACAAACAGAACACAAAAATTTAACAGATTTTATTTAACAAAAAAAAAGGCATTTTCATTACATTACAATTTTACAAAAATAACAAAATAAGTTTTACATCTTTGGCGCTGCCATAACGCTATCGACTTATCTTTCGCT